CCTACCCTAGTATGAGCCTGTCGAACCCACATAGAATTGTCAGAGTTGTTGCGTAGTGAGTAACTCGCAATGGTATAGTCCTCAGCGCCGAAGACAATAAACACACAACTGCGGTATGGCCGTACATCAACTCGTATATTCATGAACATTCCTGAAATGGGAATACGCCAAGCTTGAGAGTGGAGGTAATAAGGGATACCTTCCGTCTCTTGAAACACTTGACAAACAGCATCGCCAACAACACGGTCAACCGCGAGATGACCTGACCTACACACCGAAAGGTCCCCGGTTCGATCCCGGGGTAAGACATCTTACCAACCCCATCCAGCGTCCTTGAGCTTCACTTGCAGCATCTTAGGCAGATCGACTTGCCACCATTTAAAGCTCGTCTGCTGGTCCGGTTCCAAGTCAAGTGCCGTGGCAGAAGGCGAGTCCTACAAACGACGACATCCTGTTAGTAAGTCAACTGAGATGGTCCACCAAAAGTCATTCCATTTTGCTTTTCCAGTACGAATACACACCAGGGAATCGCCATAGTAGATAGGGTACTATACCTTCCTACCACGCTAATATATTGGAAATGTGTCGGTTGCATAAAGTCATAAAATACTCAAAACGTAAGAGTATTCACTATCATCATCATCATAATCATTCAGATGATCCGAAATATCCACATTCCAGGCGACCTAGGTCTATGCAGCATCAACTATATCCAGCTTAGGCGCATGCCAGAGCCCTAGCCACTCCTTACAGCTTGCTTCACTAGTATCGACCGGTCCGTCATAGAGTTGACCACCACATATCGTGGAGCCACATGGACACACCGTACCGAGAGATCCCTACCAAGATCATAAACACTATCAACAACAAGCTCGATAACTTACCTCACATCACCCGAGGTCACCACTCGGACCCCCAGCTCTTGCCGCTTTCGAGGGGCGTTCGGGTCCTCCCCAGAAGCCATTATCTCCCCTCCCTCCATCAACGGCAGGCGGCCACCAGCGGCAGGCTGCCCTCCCTGACCAAAGCCTCGACGACCGTAGCTGCCATTCTCGACTGCTATGGCACTCGTGAAGCCGACAGTATCAATAGAGAAAGGCCTAATACATGACAGGAACCGCATCGTGCATTCATCAAGTAGGCCAGCCCGACTGATCAGCAACTCTCGCTGGACAAGGCAACGACACGAGACGAAATTTCACCAGGACGATCATAAATTTTCATTCGATTGCATGCGGTGACGATACCAGTTGCAACGTTACACCCTCCATTCGACAGCGTAACATGAACTCGTTACTTCAAAAGGTTTTAGAGGAATATATGCTCGCTATCCTCAGTTGCGGTCAGCGATTTCCTCTCATGGAAGTTTACACATACAGTGCGGTAAAAGTGTCCAAAAACCAACAAAAAATTCCGAAAATTCCATCAATATTTCCTCATGTTGTCAACAACACTTGACTATGTGCATGTTTTCCCTCCACCCTGCAAAGCGACATACTTACCGACTGCACGTGTTATTGAGATATGCTGCCAGCTTAGTGCCGTAGCAGTCTAGAGGAAGTATCACACCAGCCTTGGCAGCCTCAGGGTCCTTCGACGAGGGTCGAGCCCCCCAATGGGCAATCCATCTAGGAGCCTCAAACGCCTCATCTGGCTGCTCACCATCATCAGTCTTCTCCTCATACGCATAACGTAGATACGGCTGAGGTGCTGTCGACATAAGCCAATACCTACCACAGCAACTCGCAAGCAGCCCTGCAAGGAGTCCCCATCAGCAGTGTGCTCTTACGGTGTGTGTAGTATGAGATCTAGAGGCTGTGTGGGCCTCGACACTATTAACAGTAACAGCCTCAGAGGGTTCTGATGCTCATCATGGAGTGTGAGGTCAATAGAGGCGTAACAACCTTCATTCACTTGATCACTACTTCTACCTTCTGACGACGAATTTGCCTAACAGTCGAAACATGTAAAACAATAATCGCTTCGCTCCGCTCACATCAGTGGTCTCCGCCATCTTCCTCGCTTTTTTGCCTGCTTTAACAACAGCGAGGTCTGCCGGCCAAATTAGTTGAGGTTCAGACCAAACGTTGCCAAACGCGCATAGACGCAGCTCAAGACGCGCTCC